ATGGGCACTCTAGCCACCCGGATCTCGCAGCTGCCTACGGGTTAAGCGGAAATGAATTTCATGTGTAATGGCTTGTCAGTCGACATCACATTTTCAAGGTTGGAGGAGCGGGAGGAGTTTTACAATCAGTACCAATACTTTTAGAGCCATATTGTTGATTGCACATCTGGTGAAGACTGAAAGAGATAGGCAGTTTTGCTTTTGCTTATGGTGAAGCCGAAGCTGGTCGCCGTCGTAGCCAGCACACTAGCCATGTGTTGCAAGTCATCCGCGCTGTGGGCAATCAATACACCTTCGTCAGCCAACTGTAACTGTAACGCACAGAGTAGAGCTGTTGCATCAAAACGTAGGACGTTCATCAACCAGTCATCGATACGGTGCTCCACACGAACACGGAAGCACAAGCAGCATCAAAAATACAACAGCCAGACGCGCTTACCTCGCGCTGTTTAGTCCGTTCAAACTAGTCCAGTCGATCTTTGAACATTTGCTCAAGCGCCAAAGTGCCAAGGTTAAATCTGCATTACGCCTGCGGTCTGTGTATGCTAGTAGCCGCTTAGCTGCTATCTAAAAGCGCCATTAGCTGCTCTAATCTCGGTCCATAGGCCGCCTCCAAGGAGTCAACTAATGCCTTAGGTTAGCGGCGTAGGATGCAGCATTCCATCTGCCTTGCCCTCTCAGTCCACAACGCATTTCTAATGCGACGGAGCACTCGGGTCGGTCCAAGTCGAATTTTCCAAAACTGACCATTCTCCGCAAAGTCACTGGGCTCTACGACATGTGAAGTAAACACTGCATGCCTCTCATATAATAAGGCGCTAGCCGTGGCATAGTTCTTATCAAACCAACCTGGCAGCCAACTATTTGTGCGCTTCGGTCTATTCAGCAGCAGCTGTCGCTTGGTCTCGAATGTGGTGCCACAGGTCGCCTACGGTGACTATGCAGTCCACCTCACACAGTCGTAGATTTACCGCATTCTTCAGCTCAATACCTTTCGCCGCAGTAACCAGGAAGAGAACGTTAAATTTACGTCCATTCACGGTGGGATTGCAATACATAGATTTGCGAAAACGCGTGTACGGGTTGGTCCGCACTAATTTGTGATCAATAGTACACACAGCTCTATGTAATACAGTGTCATGAGCACATCACGCGTTGCATGCTGAAGTACGATGACATAGTTGAGCGAGTGAGTGTATCGCTTAGTTAGTGTTCCCCAGTTGCTACATCACACACAGCGCAACACTGTGTTCTTGATCGGCAGGCTGTGAGTAGCACACAGTGACAGCAGCACGTCCCTGTCCGCATGGCTGAGCCAGTGCCATACGGACAGATGACATCTGTCTACCTCCACACATCACGCACAACGCACGCGTTGAGAGCACCCGGCAGAAATAGTCGGTCGCTCCTCAACACAGATGAAAGCGCGGAGGATAGCTTAGTGCATGATTGATACCACATGGTAGGATGGTACGTGCTTATTGAAAGTGCAAACGTACCCCACCCGAGTCGTAGGCTAACAGGTATTATTCGCGCGCTGATGCCAGCTGGTTTACTCCCAGGTGATTATGGAGATGATCGGATATCGCAACTCCGACCCCAGGTTCATGTGACGCTTAGACGACGTCGCCCAGCAAATAGTATGTGTAGTCAGCATCTGTCTCATGCACCTTACCTTGCTCCTTGAGCCAAATCTCACAGTGTGCCGCCATTTCTACGGGCTAGCGCGACAGTTCCATCGCAACCAGCGCAGTGCGTCGCTCGGGGGTTCCTTGGCGTTGCTGTCCATTACCATGCGTACATTCCAACACCTGATGCCAAGTGCTTTGGACAGCGACATACGAGAGAGCCTGTGGTGCGCTGAATCAGGTGGCTGCTAGATCCTGATGGTATAACTACTGCTACTACCGTTGTACAACGCGCTCATGTCCTGTACGCATTCTCTTGGTAAAGGCTGAGCGGAACTTGGGTTAAACCTTTCTCTCTGCTAAGCACCAGGACAGCAAATAGCCCGCGTCAATCAAATAACCGTGTTAGCCGCGCAGCTTTTCGGGTGCATATGCCATTGGAGGCTCGGACTAGAGATTCGAGACGTTATCCTATCAAGCGTAAGCGCCCCGCCAGTATCCTAACCTATGCTTTTCGGAGGTTAGGAGGTGATCGCGGACCCTTTAACAGTTAACCTTAACCATGGGAACTGACAGGTTTACGGGCGAGAAGCTCACAGGTCAATTGGCGTAGAGTACGAGCTCCATACATTGTCACTGACGGAGGAAAGGTACCTCCGGGTAATCAATAGATTGCTCGCCTCCTGCCGCGCAGCCGCGGACAAAATAATGTAAAACCGCCACAACCCACCTGCTTTTGGCCGTGGTCTCAGATGCGCCACCTACTACGGTCGCCACACATATATGAAGCATTCCAGTACATCAAAGGCTGATTGTGACGGACCTCAAGCATATCCAAAGCTGTACCTGTCAGTACATTCACCAGCTGGACCTGCTCACACTGCCTTATGGGTCAAGCTATTGTGCCAATCGCTCCGTATGGAATCGCTCAAGCTAACTTCGAAGCAAGACAGCCCCTCCAGTGCGATGGCCCACCAATGCATACGCAATTACGTGCATATATGCACCCATACACGCATTCACTCTTACTGCAATCCCAAATTTGTGTAGATCTTGGATCCCACTATGTTAGCCTACTATGACCCTGTCTTTAGAGGTATTCTAGTCTTGTCTAGAATAAAAGTGTATTCATTTATTTATTCAAACAGGTGTGTTACTGCTACATGACGGTTTCTTATTGACTAAAACTGCTGCCATGGCCCTATAGCAAAATTTTCAACCGGCGAGTTTGTGTTCCGCCAAACACTTACGTTAATATAGTAGTCGGTTTGCACGCAACTAACTTCGGTACAGGCAACAGGGGCAATGTACGTGCAGCAAAATGTACTTGACTTGCCTGATTTGTGTAAACGTGTTTACCTACGCGAATGTAGGCAGTGTGGCTTGTTACCTTTGACCAATCCACCTGGTGCTACGTCGCTTAGCACCTCTGTTTTGTGGCTAGCTAGGCGAACAACCTCCACGTAATGCCAGCTAAGTGGTTCGGGTTAATCCGGTTTCAGCTAATAGTTTGGCAACTGGGTTCCAGAAAATGGTAAGTTTCCGCTTGACACATGTTCTCCTCATAAACAGCCACAAAGTTCTGTTCAACCATACCGACTTGGCGGTTGTGACCCTCCCCTAAATATAGACTCTGCCTCTGCTACTTCTGGAGATAACCACCAAAACGTCATCCAATCAATGTGTTCCACTGAGTTATTCATAAGTTGGCAACCAACACAACCAAACACGAATTCAGTCACACTTCACAAGTTCGTGCACGATGCCAACTAACCTGCACGTGGGGGGCGGCGTCCTGGTTCGGGTTCGCTTGCCAATGTGGCCAGCCACAGGAGGCCTGCACCGACATGGAGACCATGGGAGGCTGGCTCTGCACCAATCAAGCTCCCAGCGCACACACCATGTCCAGCGTAAGCCTGAAGTAATAAGACCGGGAGGTATGTGGATGGGAGCCCATTTCATCGACGTAGCCAACCCACACTTCTTCAAAGGCAACCACAAACAAGCTGCATTTGTGCACCCATCATAGACAACGCGGTGGCTAGACGGTGGTCCGCTCCACGTTGAGGACGTGGAACCACGCTCTGAGACTAGTATGGAAACAAGGACCGTGCATCCCGTCCCCTCCAGCAACGACCAAGTGTCTGCAGCCGGCATGGACGAGGTAGTGGATCACAGCCAGGTAGGCACCTTGTCAACTTGCACATCAAGTGCAGTCACACCGAGGATCTCAAGCAACGGCCCAGTACTTCAAAAGACAAGGTGTAAGGTAATTTATTTAATAATGCATAGAGATAAGTGACATATGAAGTGGCATATGAAGTAAGTTAGCTAGCAACGAATTCGCGATAAGTGCAGATGTTCTGCAGGCCACTTGATAAATACTGTAAACTTGATACCGTTTAGGAACCTAAGCTAATTGTACTACGTTTATTTAGCGCAACTGCGGTTTGGAAGCGTCATGAATGCAACATCAGCCTCAGTATGGAGCACATACATGCGTACATGCTTGGCGGCAAGCAGTTTCTGCTTTGTCTGGCACAATAGCCAGCCGCAGGACGCCTGCGCCTAGAGAGGGACAATAGGTAGTAGATCTGTTAAAGCCTACTGCTATGCAGACCTGGCGCTTTGCTAATTTAGCATAAGAAGGAAGTTGGTTATTCACGAATCACCGATACGTACAAAATGTCCAAAAGTTATTCGAAATACGCTACGAACGTAATAAAGTTAAACAAGCTAACGCAATTAGCGTAACCAACTTGTGCAGGTTAATAGAATATTATTCAGGTAGGCCGAACGAACCAAAGAATAATGGCATGCTCCAGCCTAAAATGCCCTAGTTTAAGTGTAAGGTTGTTTAGCCTTACTGCGTGTGAAGGAGCCTCGTGCTTGCAACCTTAGTCTTAGCATGGGGGCACACAAACACATATACGTACATATATACAAACACGTAAATCCAGTATGTTACTGGTTAACGTGGCATATTTTACACAAATACCGACCATGATAATGCCATGGTGGGCAACCTTCCACACTGCGCAACATCCACATGAACCTAAACCATTGCCACTTCACCTTTGACGCTTCCCCACCTATACTTCTCTATTTATTCATGCAGTTCAAGTTGCCTACCGCAAAGCGTCGTCTGTAAAATTTTGATCATACCCCAGAAGGCGTGCCTTGGCGCGACTGAGAATAACCTACGGATTAATGATTCTTACGAGGAATCCGGAAACCTAACTGTGGTTGAACAATGAACAATGAATTTATACGGGTTAAGAAGCGTTGCTTTACGAGCCCCGTTGGATAGTTGGTGGGGATATCAACATAATAATTATGATGAAAAGGATAGTAAAATAGTTAACACTTTAAATGCGAAAGTTTGAGGGGGGGGAGGGGGGAGGGAGGGGAGGAGGAGGAAGGAGAGGGGAGGAGAGAGGGGAGGAGGGAGGAGGAGAGGAGGGAGGAGGTGAGGAGGGGGAGAGGAGGAGGGAGGAGGAGGAGGGAGGAGGAGGAGGAGGAGGAGGAGGAGGGGGAGGAGGAGGAGGAGGAGGGGAGGAGGGGGAGGAGGGGGGGGAGGGGGAGGAGGAGGAGGAGGAGGGGGAGGGGGGGGAGGGGGGGGAGGGGGAGGGGGGGGAGGGGGAGGGGGAGGGGGGGGGGGGGGAGGGGGGGGAGGGGGGGGAGGGGGAGGGGGGGGAGGGGGGGGGGGGGAGGGGGGGGGGGGGGGGGGGAGGGGGGGGGGAGGGGGGGGGGGGGGAGGGGAGGGGGGGGGGGGGGGGGGGGGGGGAGGGGAGGGGGGGGGAGGGGGGGGGAGGGGGGGAGGGGGGGGGGGAGGAGGGGGAGGGGGGGGGGAGGGAGGGGGGGGGGGGGAGGGGGGGGAGGGGGGGGGGGGGAGGGGGGGGAGGGGGGGAGGGGGGGGGGGGCGTTTGTGTGGCAGTTAACCTGAGCAATAATTGTGCTACGACCAAAGTGCACTGCGTTGGGGACGCTTCCTTTAAAGTCCTAAGCGACATGGACTCCTCCAACGTGTTGTACTTCGCCAACCAGTGACTACGGATAGGTATACCTTTAAAAAGCAATGAAAGCATATCACGTTTTACTGGCCGGAATTTGCTTTTATTTTTATAACCTCATTAAATGAACTCACGGTATTCACCTTTTTCCCATAAATTAGGCAAGAAAACCTATCATGTGCGCCGTCAAGGGCATGTAATTTGTGTTTATCGTAAACAATGACCTGCGAAAGTAGAAACATACTTGATGACCTACCAGCACTGCTCGAATATCATGATGCACGGCAACGAATTGGGGTGTTGTCAGATGACGCAAACCAGCGTGCCAATGTACATTGTGTGACGGCCTACTAGAACCGTCATGTAAGCCTTAACTTTACTTTCACTTACCTGGTGTCTCACAAAATTATGTACACTGCATCACAAATGCTTTCAGTAAGAAATCAAACAGCTTCCACCCTCTAGGCACAGCCACAGCAAGGCGCTTCGAAGCATGTGTGACTTGCTGCAATATTGGCTTGGCATGCCCGATAGGGTGGTTGTTGGCGTTGCTGCTTGGCACTAAGCCAGACGGAAGGCAATTGGCCTACGACAGCGTGGTAAACATCCAGTAGGATTTTTGGGCAGCTTACAAACTGTGGGTCCGTTTCTGAAGTAGGCGAACTGTCTGCTGGAAAAGGGACACATTGTGAATGTAAGAAAGGTTGCGTGCTCTGTCTCCATTTCCATCGTGGACCTCCGGTGAAATACGTAACGTGTTTGTGAGCAAGTCAACTACTGAACCCGGCGAAAATTAGCTTCAAGCGCGTGTTGTTGAAGGGCATCGTGGACCTAAAAGTAGCACCGCAGCATGCTACAGAGGAATACTGCGTACGCTGCGCGCACTTGATCAAACATTTTATCCATAACGGATGGGGTACGGCGGGGCCATGGTCTAGGGTATCACGAAATGAGCCTACTGATTCTACCAATGCGTTAAAATGTTTACGTACAAACCCAGAGAACACTACGCTGCCGTATCCCATGCGGGCCCTTATCAAGCAGGAACGCAACTTGAGACTATAGTGAAATTCAAAGACGAAGACCACAAGTACCCAAGGTGATTTGTATCATGGATTGTAGCCAAGCGCATAACATACGGAAATCGGTAACACAGTTAGACTTGCTGATTACGATACGTGCACAAGTGCGTAAGAACTAACCCAAAATTGGTTGTCGCGGCATCATTCGGTTTCACGCTGTGGCTGGGCTGAAGGGGTACGGACCGGAAAAAATAACATACATTGTACCTACATAACGCAAGCGAGCGTACATTGCTGTGCACCTAAAGTACCTTGTCGCTGATGATGTGTCACCTGAAGAACTTCTCAATGTATTGCTTTATAACGCAGTATAGTGGGTTGTAAGGAAAGAGCGCAGTGGAATGATTAAGTTCTTCTTCCGTAGTTCGCCGGTTTAGAAGAAGCCTTTTGCAAAGGAAGCGAGTACGTGGCTGGTTTTGGGCCAGATAACATGATACCATCATGAGCTTACGGCCAGCTGGAGTAATATTGGCGCGAGCACGGCGATGTTCGTCTCTGGAACTGAAATACTTTGGGCCGTAAGAGTAGAAACAGCTAAAGGCACCGTATTATTTTGCATTTTGTCGTACTGTACGTACGTCGCATTCATTCATAAACGATGTGATCATAACACAAGTTGGCATGGTTGCTTCCGTTGCCACACAGGTAACAACATTAACCTTGTTACGATGCATGAAGGACGTAAACAGCGATTAGAATACAACCAAGTTATGGCACGAACGGTACAGAAGGAAGATCCAAAAGACAGCGGCCATGGTTACAAATTAATAGATTAGTCAAAAGCAAGCTATTCTATTAGACAACACTTAAACTAGCAATAAACTTCAGTTTAGCGATATTGGTTCTGTTGGAAAATAGCGTACGTAGTCAAATTTTAGATGGAAACGCTTATGCAACTTATACTGTTATTGCCCTTATTGCTAGCACTTCATCCTCTTCCAATGTGCGACACGGGAGGACGTAGTTAGGCGTCCAGCGCTTGGACGGGGTGGGAATGGGTAATTGTTGTAAGGAAATGTAGCCTTACTGGAACGTTGCTTTTGGTTACGCTAGCCAAAAGTTGCTCATCTCGTAAATAAAGGTTAAAAATATGCATACGTAATGCCGGCTTCGAAAGCAGCCAATGGTCGTTAAATGCCACATGAATTCACGGCTCTCATTTTGCTCATGGTTGGATACGACAACCTGACAACCTGCATCGGTTGTTGGGTTTCACTTCCGACGCGCGGTTTGTAAGGTTGAAAGGCACTCTTGCTGGTTGGTCATCCAAAGTAACTTGAAGGAGCTTCCCTAAAATAGAACATTAAACATTGGCTTTGTTCCCACAATTATTGGGTTTTAACCCTTGGGCATACGGATCTTTCGTCTTGTTTCTCGGTCCTGCTTCCTTCGTTCACAACGCCTACGTTCCTTCCCGTAATTGCTTTGTTTGGTAGTCATTTTAGACGGTTCAATTCACCCTATTTACGGTTGAGTTTAGTAATGTTTTAACCTGTGTTGTATTACTTCGCTTTTAACGATTTATGCATATTTCACCGCCATATCTGCACCGATTAATTCATTTAATCTTATCAAACTCTAGTTGTTTATCACTGCGTTAAACGTGCCCCTTACATACTTACCGCAACGACCTCGGTAGCTTTCAATGTATGTGGTTGGCAGGCTTATGGTTTTGTGGTCAAAGAGGATAGTCAGTGCGACAAATGTCTTTATGATACCATAAAATTTTCTTTAGCTTAGGCCAAGGCTCTGTGGATCCTTGTGTCCGACCTTATCCATTAAAATAGATACGCTTTCTCAGTGTCCTCTCGCTTTACGGACGATCGGATTTTTGATCGAATTAATACTGTCTAAGCTGCAATTGCTTCTGTTGGTAGGAAAGAAGTGCATATACTGCACATTGCGAGAAAATTTATTTATGATGAGCGCTTGATACTTGAGACATTGTGTGCAAAAGTCGTTGAGTTGTTGTATTCATTGAACTGATACTTGTAAACTGCGGCACTTGCTATAGGTGGAAAACGAAGCGTACCTATCTACAGTCGGATGCAGTCGGTCCTACGGTTAGCTAAAACGCGACTGGACTTGGTAGCAAACGACGGCACTAGGCCTGTGTCGTAGCCGGAGTACCATTATATGTTTGTGTCAAAAGTAAATCGTGTTGGCAGCTGGAGAGCAACAGGCATTCTTAGCGAACAATGTTATGCAACGTTTTTCTTGGTTATCTTTAAGAACCCCGTAAACAGGGACCTATTACTTAACCTGTCTGGGTTGCTTGTGAGTCAGACAAACGGTCGGTATCAAATAGCACCGCAAGCACTAAGTTCGAAGGCTAAAGCCTCTTTGGATAATCCCATTAGAGTACTACTACCAGCTTGGCTAACAAATCTGTGGCCTCGCACGTTGGAATTCGTGGTATTAAGCCTTGCGTTACTCATAAACCTAAACAAACCGCTAGCACATAGTTTCCGGTGGCAAGTGCAGCCAGCTGTTCTTGGCAACACACCCCACAAGGCGTCAGTGAAATAGCTCTCGGCCAGCCTTTGGTTGTGGGGCAAGTTGTGCTTGATGGAAATGCGGAGCTTACCTCTATGGCTAATAAAGGTAGTAAAGCAGCGGCGGTGAGACTCCGGCAATGCCTTCTTTAGCAACAGATGCCTAACACTCGATAGCAGTGACTCTGAAGTACAAGTTAGTATGATCCGTGTATAAGATGGTATTGGAAGCGAGATAATTGCTGTAATTGAATTGGACCATATAGAAAATTCGAGGTGAAGTGTTGTTAGGCGACTCTGTTTTAATAGAAGTTAACCAGTCGGCAGTTTAACCCACGAGCCAGGACACGCAAAGCCAACAAAGCGATTATTTCGTAAATATTTACATCCTCTCAGCGTTGATCCATCGGGTCAAGCAGCCGTCGGAAGTAAAATGGAACAATAAAGTGGTTTTCCTTTTGTGCTCTTCTCTCAAGGTGCAGCAATCGCGTCCGGAAAGGCTAGGCGTGTGGTATACTAATTGCTGCAGTGTGCGTAGCAAATAGGAAGGGCTAGTGTGGAGTTCTGAGCATGTTTATATGGCGGCTGTATCAAGTCCTGTGTTTTTCCAGACGAAACTAGTAATGGCTTGCTTATAGACTTCGCTGGCTGTAGAGTTGATGGGCCTGGTCATCAGACTGGTGAAGGAGCCTGGTTCATAAAACGCCAATCAAAACATTGGGAAATTTCAGTTCTCACGAGGCCTGCAAACGTTTAGGTGGTGTCCTGCTTTCGTCTGGCATGGGGTAGATTTGAGGTTATAGAATGTGTCTATCGCATCCCATTCCTTACACAAGCAAAGTACCAGGACCCTGGTACGTCTGCTTGTCAACACTGGGACGTGGCGGATGTGACCCACCACAAAATAAACTCACTAGCCCGTGGACCTCCGGAAAATGGTTTTCAACCCACGGACATCAAGCGCTTGTTCTCACATTCCTGCCAATAACAAGCAGTCAAAATTTCTGCGGCACATTCCATAATACAAGCTACATTCACAGACAATTGGGTGGCGGCATCCGGTTTCGGATTTGCCTGTCACTCTGTCCAGCCACGTGACGCCTGCGCCTACAGAGGGATCAAGGGTGGCTTGCGCTGCACCATCCACAGCTCCAACCACACAACCCATATCCAGTGTAAACCCGAAGTACTAAGACCGGGAGGTATGTGGATAAGAGCCAAGTTTTTTCAACGGAGCCGGCCCACACCAATTCACAGGCAAACACAAGCACGCTGTATTTTAGAAATCAGGCGCACACAAAGCGGTGTCTGGACTGTAGTCCGCTCCACTCTGCGTGCAAGGAAGCACTCATCGAGCCTATCCCAGCCACAAGGACCGTGCACCCCGTCCCCTCCAGCAACGACCAACTGTCTCCTGGAGCCATTGTGGACAAGGTAGCGGATAATAGACAGGTAGGCAC